CACCACTTCCTACGTCGCGGACCCATTTTCCTCCCTTCCCATAGCATTTTAGGAATTCAGATACCTTAATCTAATTATCATAAACAGTTTCCACACTCCATACAGCTCGCCTTGACTACTTCCTTCACTACTTCCTACGTCGCGGACCCGTTTTCCTCCCTAGAATTTTAGGAATGTGGATACCTAATCTAATCGTCATAAACAGTTTCCACACTCCAGACAGCTCGCCTTGACTACTTCCTTCACCACTTCCTACGTCGCGGACCCATTTTCCTCCCTTCACATAGCATTTTAGGAATTCAGATACCTTAATCTAATTATCATAAACAGTTTCCACACTCCAGACAGCTCGCCTTGACTACTTCCTTCACCACTTCCTACGTTGCGGACCTGTTTTCCTCCATTCCCATAGAATTTTAGGAATGCTGATACCTAAATCTAATCGTCATAAACAGTTTCCACACTCCAGACTGCTCACCTTTACTACTTTCTTCACCACTTCCTACGTCACGGACCTCAAGCTAGTGTCGTCATTTGATTATATTTATGATCCATACTGTTCCTGTTCTAATATCTGTGAATTAATGCCATCAGTTATTTCTTTATCTACTACATTCAAAAGTCAACAGCTGATCATATGTTTTTGTTTATGTGTCAAATACTGCTTCCATAAGGATTACATTGAAACTTTGAGACCCAGTGGGGCGGATTCCTGAGAGACTTTTTTAACGCCATATAGATGTTGGCACTCACCGATATGGTCTTTATCACTATGCAAAATTTGAAAACGATTGATTCAGCCGTCTAGGAGGAGTTTGCGTATTACGAAATGCATAAGAGTCGACGTATAAGAGCTTCGCTCGCTTCGCTCGCTCCGCTCAATAAACATATTCTGTTTGTGATTTTGATTGTGCAATTTTCAATCTGGTGGCAGAAACATGACAACTACAGTTTGAATTGTAACTTAACCTAGAAAATGTGAGTTTATAAAGAAAGGCCAAATAGGCTATACCAGGCTACAGTGAAATTTGTTCTAATTTTAAATTAAGTGTTTAATGTGGGATTTTATTTTGAGATAATAGGCCTACTATGTTTTTATTTGATATTTTCAGTCTGTCAGAGACGAGTGACTTGATCATTTTTATAAATGTACTGAGTGAAGAGGATAGCCCTAGTACCCATAACCTTCAAACTTCAGACAGATGAAGTACTTATCCAAGTGATTACCTATTTTAAAATACCTCATTGATGTTTTTAACTTGTGATACAATATGTAGTTTGATATAAGTTTTCTGTTAAATAAATAAATTTATTTTTATAAATTCTGTTTCTTATTTGAATTGAATATATTCTTAAAGTTAGGTACCTTATTAACACGTTGGGTGCTGATGACGGGAATTCCCGCCATTGCTTAACATTGAAATAAATGCAATTTTCATGTTCAAACATGTCAACGGCACTTTAAGTGTTAAGTTAGTTAGTTAGGTTGATTATCATGTTAGTGAGGAGGAATTAAAGGCAAGAAAAAATAAAACACACAATAACAAGTGATGTGTAGGCCTAAATAATTTAATGCTGCAGCCATCAAGTAGTCTAGGCCAAATTTTTTATTAGGCCTAAGGTAGGAGGTACTAATAATTAGTAACCATATAACTTAGAAAATTTGGTATAAGTACTTAAACTACCTATTTAGGCCTAGGCAGGGTTTAGGCTAGGATGAAATTTTTTTCAGCAAAATGCTGCAAACTCTCTGCAAAGACAAAAACTTAGTTAGGCCTAACTGTAGAAAAAATATTATTCAATAACTTAAGCATTTAAAACAAAAAATTCCAGTAGGCTAATATTACATTTGTTTGAACATTACATCTTTCAATTTTATTTGTAGAAAATTTGCCATAGGCCTAGCCTGCAAAACAATGTAAACTTAGCATTTTTAAGTTGTGAATAGCAAGATGCTAAAAAAAAATACTACCGCAGCATAAACTCTGGGCCTTGGCCTACTTAACGTGCAACTACTCAACTCGACTCGATACTCGAGTTTTTACTCAAATACTCGACTCGACTCGACTCAAATTGAAAAATCACTACTCGCCCACCCCTAGTGATAACCAATTGTTGTAACAGATGAGATAAATTTAACATCAAGATTTCTCTTCCATTGTAATTCATGAAGAAGCAAGAGAGGACAGTGACATAGCCAGGGGGGGGGGTCCTGGGGGTCTGGACCCCCCCTTCTATTCTTAAATATAATATTTTTTTGTTAAATTAAATGTAAAACTATACAATCAAACTGTATTGTTGGGGTTGGTTACTTTCAATGCCAAGAGAGCTAAAAAAAGGGGTACCCCCTAGACCCCGAACCAACGATCTCAAACACACGCATGATATGTTGTCATTGTGTATCACCGCTATTTTGCTGCTTGGTTCAAATAATCCTCAAACGAATCAGTATTATTATTTCAACCTATGTAGGTATGATATGTGATTATAGGGTACGATAGACTGCACATTGTGAAACAGGTATAGTCGAGCAGGATCCATTTACACATCTATTATATTATTAAAGTGATACAATCAAATTTTACATCAGCCCCACTTTAATAGCGCTCTAAGTCAAATTTTCTTCCCGTTGCAAAGCACGGGTATAGCAGCTTGTAATAAAATAATCCATAACAATTTGACTGCTCTATTGCAGCTGTTTCAAAAACGAAAACGTTAGTTAGTTTATATGTTTAGTGTTCAGGTGCATTTTGTTAGTTTATCCATTTTAGAGGTTGACGACTGATACGTTTAATCATTGAAAAACCAAGTAGTTATAGTTACGTAACTGTTTTGCAAAGTATTACCCGTAGTGGATTCACTAACGATCTCAAATACACGCCTGATATGTTGTCATTGTGTATCACTGCTATTTTGCTGCTTTGTTCAAATAATCCTCAAACGAATCAGTATTATTATTTCAACCTATGTAGGTACGATATGTGATCGTAGGATACGATAGACTGCACATTGTGAAACAGGTTTAGTCGAGCAGGATCCATTTACACATAATTAAATAATCCATAACATTTTGACTGCTCTATAGCAGTTGTTTCGCCACGAAAACTTTAAAATCTAAGGCATTTGTTTGCTTCATTTTGTTAGTTTATCCATGTTAGAGGTCGACGACTGTTCAATCATTGAAAACCCAAGGACAAACCCCCAGACAAAAACACTCCACATATTTCGTTTCTATAAACCATTAACAAATTTTGCTTTCAGCTGCAGCTCCATATTGCAAATGTACGTTTTGAACATTCAAACGTGCCAAAAACAATGGACAGCTAATTACTATTGAAGGGCACTAAATATCACTTAAAATGTGAAAGCTTTAAAATGAGCCTTAATTAACTTTTCTACGACCCTTAGCAACACGTATATTAAGCTGTAGATTTGATCCATTCATTTGGGACACGGTGTATCCAGGCCCCATAGGCTTTAATTTTTGATTAATATCCAGCAAACATTTACAACGACCAAATAAACATGCAATTAAATTTCCGAATTTATAATGTGCAATGTGTTTTGTGGACTATGAGTCACTACAACACAGTGTATTAGTAACAGTGTGTTAGAAAGAAGCCTTGTAGCAATAAGGCGTATTCACGGCATTTCTGTATTAGGAAGCTAATTCAGAGTTTACCAACCGAGCGAGGCTGAGAATTTGATGAGCCTGGTGTACAGTCTGTTCAAAAACTAAGAGTGTCCGGGTTCGTTGTTTGCGCGCAGCGTTAAACTCGGACACCTTTTGAATGTGTCCAGTTTCGTCGTGTCGTGAAACGCCACCCCTGGACAACTTAAAAATGTGTCCAGGTTCGTCGTTTGCGTGCAATGTTAAACTTGGATACATTTGAATGTGTCCAGTTTCGTCGTGTTGTGAAACGCCACCCCTGGACAACTTAAAAATGTGTTCAGGTTTGTCGTTTGCGGGCAACGTTAAGCATGGACACATTTGAATGTGTCCAGGTTCATCGTTGTCTGCTTTATCGTTGTCTGATTGAGGCGGTGTCTATCGTAGTCCACGTTTAACGTTGTGCAACTTCGACATCGTCCCACACTCGTAGGCATATCTCTCACTTTAGGCGACACCGATAATCGTCTCTCGCGATCGCGGCAATACCCATGAGCAAATCTTGCAGTTTCGGCGACACCGATAATCGTCTCTCGCGATCGCGGCAATACCCGTGAGGAAATCTCGTGGTTTCGGCAACACCGATAATGGCGATAATCGTCTCCCGCGATCGCGGTAACACCCGTAGGCATATCTCGTGGTTTCGGCGACACCGATAATCGTCTCCCGCGATCGCGGCAACACCCGTAGGCATATCTTGCGATTTTGGCAACACCGATAATCATTTCCTGCGAACGTGGCAACAAAAGCGGTAGTGTTTTCGATTCCCGGAGGTCTGGGTGGATTCCTGGAGTTTTCCAGGACATTTCAAGGTAAGATAAAATTCCCGGAGGTTTCCCGGTTTTCCCGGAGAGTAGACACCATGTTATCGTTAAATACTATGGTTTAATACTTTTTTATGAGTTATCCAATGTTTTTATCGACATTCTTCTGTCCTGAAACAGCAATGTAGCATTAGCCTATGACTAGTCGTAGGTACTTACTAGAATTTCTATTAATCTGTTCCTTACGTGATTTAATATTGCTGTACAGTGTTGGAAAATTCTTTTGTTTGAGTTAAAGTTTGACTAAACTGTGATTTTAAACGTTACAGTTTTTATTAGTGAAACAATGTTAATGAATTAACATATCATGATTGCGCAATAGCCTACTAATTGTATTTTGATGATGTAATATGTAAATCATCACATTCAATTTACACATTTTTAGGCTTTATTAAGCCTAAGGAGTTTTACGTCATGTTTGACTAACCGTGGTTTCAGTTATCTGTGGTCTCTCTCCCCCCATTAGCCCGGATAATCGAGGTTCTACACTGAAAAGTCATACTCACTTGACATCATTGTCAGTGTGGAAGTATAGAGACACAACGTTTTTCCCGCTGGCAGGCCCGGTGGTGAAGAAATCTATCAGCTGTTTCCTGAGTATCTCTATCTCGCCTGGCTGCAGGGTGGTGGGGTTGATCATAACCACCACCATGAGCTGCTTAGCTTTGTTGGTCCTCACCAGCAGCAGCCGCCAGACACCAGGGTCGTGGTTGGTGATCTGGGGAGGGTGTGGGGACTCTTGCACAAACTGCTCAAATATCTGCACAACACATGTCAAATACATTGCTTATTAGGACATAGTGTTCAACCTCTATGATTATTTAATTATTATTTAACCATATGTTTTTATTTACTTTCTTTAATAATATTGTCTTGTATTAATGTCTTGATTAAAAACAGTTTAGTTTCTTTTGATCTTTTAATTTTAATCTAAATAAGAAATAGAACATGGCGCAGTCGAATGAAGAACCCGTATCCCTGAACATTAAGCCTCCTGAAGCCTTTTCCTTCAATCCTCACGACTGGAAGACATGGAAGACTCGCTTTGAGAGGTATTATTCCCTTAGCAATTTAGCTCTACATTCTGGTAAGCATCAGATTGACATGCTTATATACTGTATGGGGGAAAAGGGAGAGGATATACTTAACTCATTCAGGTTAAATGGCAATGACAAATCTAATTACAAAGTTGTTCTAAAGAAGTTTGACGATCATTTCCTTCCAAAAAAGAACCTAATTTTTGAACGGGCTAGGTTTCTAAAACTTAAACAGGGTTCCATGCCGATTGAGAACTTCATCACAGACCTTCACAATCATGCAAAAAACTGTGATTGGGGTCAGATTGAAGAGGAGATGATTCTGATGGTTTTGATTATTGGTATGCAAGACGAATCACTAAGTGATCGTCTTCAACTTGAACCCGAATTAAAACTTAACACAGCTATTAACACTATCCGTAGATCTGAAGAACTAACAAGACAGAAACAAACACTAAACTTGGCTGACATAGCATTAATAAACCAAAACACTCAACATTTAAGTAAATCAAACATTTCTCCTGATAAATCAAACAATAATCGATACTTTAAGCCAATTAATGACAATCAAAAGCCTGTCCAATGTCGAAAAGAGATGTTTTTGGTGTGGCTCGACAGTTTTACACAAAAGATTCAACTGTCCAGCTAAACAATACAAATGTGGGTTTTGTAAAAAAGTCGGTCATTTCCCAAATGTTTGTAAATCAAACAAAGTCAGTCAAATTGAATATGATGATTCTCCCCTAGAAAACCCCACCGAAAATGTTTGCTCTCAGTACATAGACCCTCAAATTGGCTCTGTTGACAAAACCGTACGTGATGATCCTTGGTCTGTAGTGTTAAATATGAACGACAGTGATGATGTTCTTTTCAAAATTGATACAGGAGCAGACGTAACGATTTTGCCTTCCGACATTAAATTGAACAAGAAAATCAAACTGAATCCCACATCCAAAACATTTAGCGGCGCAAATGGTCAAGCTTTGTCAATTTTGGGAACTGCTACAGTCAAACTATCCCATAATCACAAAACATGTTATGAGACTATATATGTTTCAAAGGGCACTTCCCAACCCCTTCTAGGTAAACCTGCAATAAAAAATTTGCAGTTACTTGCTCGAATCAATGAAATACAGCCATCCTGTAATGACTGGTATAACAGACACCCTAAATTGTTTGAAGGCTTAGGTTCTATTGATGTTAAATACAAAGTAGAACTGGAAAATAACGCCAATCCATTTGCAATCAACACACCTCGTCGGGTTCCTCTTCCTCTTTGGGAATCTACTAAAGAAGAGCTTGAAAGAATGGTGTCAATGGGGGTGATTGCTGAGGTACACCATGCCACAGACTGGTGCTCTCCAATGGTTGTTGTACCAAAGAAGGACTCTAACAAAGTTCGCATCTGTGTCGATCTTACTAAATTAAACAGATGCGTCAAACGAAGATACTATCCTATTCAACCCATCGACATAACACTTGCCCAAATCTCAGAAGCAAAATGCTACTCTAAATTGGATGCTAATAATGGATTCTGGCAGATCACATTGGACGAAGAATCCCAAGATTTGACAACGTTTCTGACACCGTTTGGACGCTTTAAATTTCTGAAACTACCCTTTGGAATAACATCTGCACCTGAAGTATTCCAGGAATGCGTGAATCGAACCCTTAAAGGTCAAATGAATGCACTTGCGCACATGGACGATATAATTGTTTGGGGGAAAACTCAACAAGAACATGACTATTTCTTAGAAGAAGTACTTACCAAACTTGAACGTGCAGGCTTCACCTTAAACAGAGACAAATGTTTGTTCTCTCAAACCTCCTTAACCTACTTAGGTCACCATCTATCCGAATCAGGAATCAAAGTCGATGAGACGAAAGTCGAAGCTATAAGAAAAATGGCACCTCCAACAGATATTTTGGGTGTACAAAGGTTACTTGGCATGGTTAACTTTATTGGCAAATACATACCTAACAAAAGTAGATTACTAAAACCCATTACCGACCTTCTAAGTAGAAAAAACGAATGGTGTTGGGGGTTTGAACAACAGAAAGCATTCAATGAACTTAAAGAATTATTGGCATCTCCACCTCAACTAGCATTCTATGACAAGGATAAACCAACTATGATTTCTGCTGACTCATCAACACAAGGCTTGGTAGGAGTACTTTTACAACAACAAACAGATGGAAATTGGAAACCTATTTCTTATATTTCACGTACTCTGAGCGAAACCGAACGAAACTACTCTAACATTGAACGAGAAGCTCTATCTCTAACATGGAGCTGTGACAAGTTTAAAGACTATATTGTGGGCAAGCACATCATGTTGGAAACAGATCACAAACCTTTAGTAAGTATTTTGACTACTAAAGAGGTCAATGATATGACACCCCGACTTCAAAGGCTCAGACTTCGAATGATGAGATATTCCTACAATGTTACATATACTCCTGGCAAACATTTAGCAACTGCTGATTGTCTCTCAAGAAGCCCTGTAGCAACTAATGAGAGTTATGATTTGGATGAGGAAGTTGAACTGGCCATCCACACAGTAACAAGAAACATTGCCTATGTAACTGACATGGTTCTTGATAGAATTGCATCGGCACAGCGGGCTAGCTCAGAACTCAGGGTAATTAAATCTTACTGCTCAACTGAATGGCCTGATAAAACTAAGATTCCCGATAATCTTAAGCCATATTTCACAGTTCGGGATGAAATCTCTTTTTGTGACGGACTATTGCTTAGAGGAGAACGTCTCATAATCCCGACAACTCTTAGACAAGAAATGTTGACAAGAATACATACAGGCCACCTAGGCATAACGAAATGTCGACTTAGAGCCAACAATAGTATGTGGTGGCCAGGAATGTCACTTGACATTGAGAAATTTGTTAATGATTGTCCTAAATGTACTGAACATAGAACACAACATCATGAACCCCTTTTGCCCAGTGAGCTTCCATCTCGTCCTTGGGAAAAGGCAGCGATTGATCTCTTTAAACTTGAAGGAACATGGTTCGTAGTAATCACTGACTGTTTTTCACGTTATTTTGAAATAGCTACATTAAAAAACCTGTCAACTGCTGAAATAATCGAAAAATGTAAATCTGTATTTTGCCGTCACGGTATACCAATTGAGCTACGATCTGATTGTGGTACACAGTTTGCTACCAGATACACTGGTCTTGAAAACTCTGAATTCAAAAAGTTTGCTCAAAGCTATAACTTTAAACTTGTGACGAGCAGTCCAAGCTACCACCAAAGTAACGGTGCAGCTGAAGCTGCAGTCAAAATAGCGAAGAGTGTACTAAAGAAAAACAAAGACGACCCATATTTGGCCCTCCTAACCTACCGCAATACACCTCTATCCACAAGTGGATACAGTCCTGCTCAGCTAATATACAACAGATCACTGCGAGATAATCTGCCTGTTTTACCTAAAAAACTTGAAATCAAACCCGATCTCTCCCAACTACAGGAAAAAGAAGATACTTACAGAGCATCTTACAAGAGAAACTACGATAGGCGCTACGCTACAAAAGAACTTCCATCGCTGCCTGTAGGTAAAAAAGTATGGATCCAAGACCTAAAAAGAGAGGGGATTATTATCAGCTTAGGACAAAAGCCAAGGTCATACTGGGTTAAGACAGGAAACACTACGTTGAGAAGGAATCGACACCACCTTTTGCCTTACAAAGGTAATACAACCAAACCGAACAATCCTATTCCTTTATCCATTAAAGATACAATGCCAGATACTCTGCCATTTACTACTGTTACTCAAACCAACTCGTCCCTATCAAATACTACTGAAAAAGCAACTACTACTCCATCTAGAACACCCCAAGATTACAGTAAATCTTTTTCACGATCAACAATTCCCAATCAAGAAGCTGCAATTAAAAAATCATCAAGAGGCAGAATTATAAGACCAACCAAACGATTTCCTGAATAAACTTTGAGAAAAAAAACTCAAAGGGAAAGATGTTCAACCTCTATGATTATTTAATTATTATTTAACCATATGTTTTTATTTACTTTCTTTAATAATATTGTCTTGTATTAATGTCTTGATTAAAAACAGTTTAGTTTCTTTTGATCTTTTAATTTTAATCTAAATAAGAAATAGAACACATAGTGATTATTTTTCATACTATGTTTAATTCTATACTGTGCTGCATACAACATTAAATATTAGAGGCCTAGAAAGTAAGGGTATGTAAATACTCGAAAGTTTGAATTGTTAAACCAATATTTTAGTATTTGAGAACAGCCTGATATTAATGGATGGATATATTCGAGGATTCAAATACGATAATTAACTAAGATATAAAGTCCTAATTACAGCACAATATGTCATCAAATATCAAATGTGTTATGGACATAAATGAAGCTATAGTTATTACCATAGCAACCTAAATGTTTATTATTCAATGCTGTTTACTTTCTATTCTGATTTTAATACAACACAGTATACTTTTATTTCAACACTTTGTCAAATTCAAAATTCAAATTCAAATTCTTTATTCACTCATAAACACCTTAAAAATTACAACGTACAAGGATAGGAGTGTCGTCATAATACAAACAAAAATAAAAATAAAAATACTATGATGAATAAATTTACACTTAACTCAAAATTATTACTACTGACATCAAGTAAAGTTACCATTATACAAAACAACAAATAAGATAAAACTCCTGCTAAAATTAATAAAAGCCACCAAGTATGTATTCAACGTGAATTAAGTTTGTAAATTTAAAATAATTCTAGTCCGTCTAGAAAACATCAAAATAGAAATCCTCTATTTTTGGGATCAACTTCAATTCTTCTTGTGTCTATCGTAAAAATGGCTACTAAGGAAGAAAAAGCTCAATGTGTTTTGTGGCTTCACGAGTCAAATTATCCGAATGATCACGAATGATTATCCTTACCGAGCTTCTTTTGCTAATGATATTTTACATCTCATTCATGTAGATAACAACTATCTTAAACGTGTATGTTTTTCAGACAAATACACTTTCCACGTAAGTGGTATAGTAAATCGGCACAATGTCCGGCAGCGGAATTTGGGGCAGCGAAAACCCAAGAGTTGTCTTAGAACACGAAAGAAACAGTCCCAAACTTAATGTATGGTGTGGTTTGATGCACAACAAAGTTATAGGCCCATTCTTTTTTGCAGAACAATCAGTTACAGGAACAACATATTTGGACATGCTTGAACTGTACGTTGTGCCTCAATTAGAGGAGTTTCAACCGTGGGTAATTTTCCAACAAGACAGAGCTCCATCGCATTGGTTTTTGGATGTAAGACATTTCCTCGATGACACTTATCACAATCGTTGGATTGGTCGCGGTGGGCCCATAGCTTGGCCTCCCCGTTCACCAGACATCACACCTTTAGACTTTTTCTTTTGGGGCTTTGTGAAAGACAAGGTTTATGCTACACCTGTCTCAGACGTGGGCGTGTTGAAGACCGGGATCAGAGAAGCAATTTCAACAATTGCTGGAGAGATGTTGGCAAGTACTTGGGAGGAAATTGAATTTAGACTGGAAATTCTACGGGACACAAATGGGTCACATGTGGAAGTGTACTAATGTTATATGAATTGTATATAAAACATTTTTCATGCTCTTTCTAAAAAATATAATCTCACTTTTGTATGTCTAATGGTTTTCATTTTATTACAAAACAAAATGTTGTCAGGACTTTATGGACACCTGGTAGGTGCAAAACCTGTCAAACTAATCAACCAAGCCAACAATCTTCCAGTTCCATAACCAATGAAAACTACATCATCCGAGGTTTCAACACTTGCGAAACCAAAAACATCATACCGGGTGTCCCATAATAGTCCCTCCCTGGTTAACTTTTGTACGGCTGCATATACTAATGAGCTTCAATTCACGTTACTAGGGTAAAGTCAAGTTCTTTTTGGCGGTATTTAGAAATTTAAACCCATCCCCAAATAGGGGTTGCTGGGGGTAACTTAAAATTTTTAAATGGCAACCACTATCTAGTAGCACATCACTTTAAAGAGCTTTAAAAAAGAAAATTAATGCCGCAAATCCAAATTTGATACGACAAATTTTCAAAAAGTTAAGGCAAGAAATTTTAGACATTAATTTAACTGGAACTTGACATTCCATCACTTTTAATTTGTTTCATGGCTGTAAATTTTCAAATAACCTTCAGTACACGTAACCGATGTCACACACTTATTAACATGATTTTGAATTTCATCAACCAATCCCAAATAGGGGTTGATTATGAATACTCCTCCTTTTAAATATGTTACATCCTCTATCTATATAAATAAAATTAGAGTTTTGTCTGTACTTTGCTCAGAATTATATACTTTTATGTTATTTTTACGTTTTATACATTAAAGAAGCAGAAACGGGTCTTATCTCTATTTCTGTCTGTCTGTCTGTCTGTCTGTCTGTCTGTCTTTCCCTTTGTCTGTAACACTCAAGATGGCATTTTACGCAATCTTCTCCGTGAAAACCAGAGTACCTATAAAGATCCAAGTCATTTTAATGTATTCACTGGATTGGTGAGAGTGTCTTTAGTGATTTAAATATAGCCTCACTACTTTGTAAATAAAATTACGGACGCTCAAAAATGCTGTTTTGTGCGATTTTTGTCAAATTTTCGTTCAATTTTTATCACATAATCGTCTATGAAATAACGAACAGCTGTTCGGATCAAGATTATTTTTTCTAGCTGTCAAATGATATGTTTACAAATGTTGTTTACAAATACCGCAACCATTTCGAATCACGTTTTGAAAGGAAATCCCAACCAAGTGAGATTAAAAACGTTTTTCTTACATAACGGATTTAATTAATCGCAAGTGCAATAATATAGTCTAATAGTGTAACCGTAAATGAAATTAAATAACTAGACATCGTCCGAATCGGAACCAGAAATTCTTTGAGTATAAAATGTTTCTTGAGTTTTGACAACCAGAAAGAAGACCTTGAATCACTGTTGTATAGGGCTGGACACTGAAATGATCGTCGCCAATAGCTTACAAAAAAGGTTTCCACTCATTGACGGCGCTTCAATGGCGGTTGTGTAAAGTGTAAAGTAAAAAATCACAACTGCAGTGGGTGATTGTAACAGAGGTTTAACAGAGGAAGTGCTAAACTCGCTTTTCCAATGTGTCACTTTCTGTTTCTTTTCTACTCACCGTGTGATGCAATCGCTGGACCATACAGCCAATAGGCCCATAGCTCATATCTTGGGTACGTAAGCCTACATATTTATTCATAACAACCTTTTTGACGACGATCCTTGATACCGGTACTTTTCCATGGCCTACCTACTTAAGAAATATAATTGCAAATGACCAAAACCCCAACATTGTGTGATTTTCGTCACATTTCCTTCTAATAGTAATAGATATACTAATCATTGTTTAGAGAATGCGTAATCTATTAAATAACAAAAAGTTGTTTGGGTAAGGTTGTTTTTTTTTTTCAAACTGACACCGATAAGTTTACGCTATAACTTTTTACGAGAAAATCCAAAAGCAAGAGATCAATAACCTCGGGACTAGATATTAATGTATTTAATTGGTCGGATGTACTATAGTTCTTAGGTGGGGGAGCGAGCTGGTGTAGTGGATAGAGCGCGGGACTTCGGTCCGTGAGGTCCCGGGTTCGATCCCCGCCAAGTCACCAATGGATTTTATCTAAGTGATAATGCCGCAACCCCTAGGTCTAGCCTGAAGTAATGTGAAAAACAATCCCAGGCTCGTGCCTAGTGTCCTAGGAAAAAAAAAAAAAGAAAACTATAGTTCTTAGGTAGGTTCTTACGTAGGTACTGGTTCTTTTCCTTAGAACCGTTGGTAGCTGCTAGAATCATTTTTACGTAGGTACCAACACATCACTGTAGTTTACAAATTAGTTATCGTTGATGTTGCACCTTATTTATTAGAGCCGTCCGTATTCAATTTAAGTGATGTCTTAACTCTGTATAAGTTTTGCTTTTTCTGTCTGGATTCCAAATCTTAGCTTACCCGGTATGCTAAGAAAATGATAACCTATTTGAGTAAAACATTTGTTGGGCAAACCATCATGAATTGTTTACGCCTTTATATTGTTTATGTATCAATAGTTCGTGGCCTTTTTTGGATTGTTGTGTGTATGTCTGTTGGTAACGCATTAATGTCCTTATTTCTCAGTGTTTCACGGAATGGACAAGAGCACCTTTGATACTGAAAATGTCAACCGGAATAAAGTGTTAAATGGTGAGGTTGAGGTAGTACTTTAAATACGTTTAAGTTAACCGATGTGGAAAGTAACTTTCAATTATAGGCCTACTTTAGGGCTACGCTTCATGGATCTATAAAACATTTTTTAGTTTAATCATTGGACATATGGACCATAACGATCCGGGTGACATTTAATTGCGAAGCATTTATTTTGGCTTGAACTGTCAGATACTGTATTTGCGAAGGTTTATATATAATAGTTTTGCCAGCATATCTGCAAATATGCAAACTAACTGCTGTTCTTAATCTTAATATAAGAAGGTTTCAACTGACTACTATAAGATCCCCGTGCGTAGAATGGGCACACAGCTAGTATAAACTAAATTATTAACTTAATAAGTTTAGTTAGTTTATTTCAAATAATCTAACAGAAGCTGCAAAATTAGCTCTTGTATAAACATAAACAAGAACCTGATTTTTTAAAGTTTTGGATTTTAACAACATTAAATGATAATGATAAATATTACCATACCTTGACTACCTCCAACATCTCCTTAGGCAGATGTCTCATAGCATCTGGAGCTGCCACAGCAATGTTGTCCCCTTCCTGGTTGTCTACTCGGTAACCAACAATCACCCTCTTACTGGTAGGTTCCATCCCTATGACACACAAACTGCTGATCAGCAAAACACAAGAAATTAATTTGATTAACTATTTGTACAAATTCATTTTCATGAAGTAAATGCTATTGATGACATTAATGACTATTTAGATTTACATGTACTGTTGTTGTTTATGGATGGCTTCTTACTATGTTGCATTATCTGGGGCCTTCAGTTATCCACGGTCTTCCTTCTCCCAACAACCCCAGGTAATGGAGGTTACTGTGCTTAAAATTTGGCAGTCAGTTTAAATCACAGATTTGTGCAATGTAAATATCAAAGAAAGCACGAGGAGAGCTGATAAAGGTCTTTAACACTCTCTCTAGGTCTGTTTGATAGTACTTAAGAGACTGTGTGATCTCATAGACTATTATTAATCAGCTCCTTAACCCTCCATGTGGCTATGGCAAAGGTATTAATGTTTGCCTATTGATTGCACATTCACAGGGTTTTATCTTTGACTATTAATTAACTTCAGTATCCAATAAAACGTAGCTGAGTTAAAGTATGCCGCAGCCTGTGGCGAAATGCGCATTAGGAAACAAAATCTTCAAGAACTAAAGGCAACTACAAAACAAAAAGGTAACTTTTTTTTATTGTCAACAATTTCTGTGGGACTGACATTGTTTACAAATAAAAAAAACTGAAAAGATTTTTTAGGTTTGGGCTAGATAAAATGTTATAATTTATAGGTCTATAAATATTTTTAAATAGCCACTTTGTACTAAACTTTATGAGGATTCCAAAAATATATCATACTACCAGAGTACCCGTCCTTCGTACGGGAGTGGCATATAAGTATAAAATGCTTAGTACAGTTATACTCAAGCTTAGCGTTTGCAATGAGGGAGGACAAAGTATGATAAAATTTGCTTCTTTAAATTTACGGTATACTATAGTATTACACATCTACCATAGCCATAATGTTCTACCACTTCACCCGAACAATAGAAAAAAATAAATTATTAAAGATTCACAAAATATCACAAATTATTCGTGAAATTAAAAACATAAACATAACTGTAAACGGACAGTTCTCATTGTAGTCCAGTCAATGAATGCTCAAAACGGGGGTGTAGAGGACATGGAGAGGGGGAAATTTTTTTTCTGCGGGAATGTGTTCGGGGTAGTAAGAAGATAAAAATACCAAAATTCCCCGCCCCTGGCCCTGCTGCTTCAACGGGGGGAGGGGGGGGAAACCCCATTTTTTAGTTTTTTACTTCTACACTGAAAACCGTGCATCGTACGGAAGAAATGTAAATTATAAAAATAAAGATGATGAAATTCTCTAAAAGAATGGTCATATTCATTTCTTCCGTATATGCATTAGTTTAAAAGATATTCTCAAAATAATATAAAAATTCTTAAATAAATTGATTTTTCACACGTTTTTTGTCAAATAAGTTTATATAATCCATTAGCCTGTTGTTGTTTCACATCAATCAGGATAGAAAACAGGTTTTTGAACACTAACCTATATAATATAATATATCAATCGTATATATTGTGTTAAAAATAGTTTATATAAATTTAAATAGATTATATATATTTGTCATGGAAACAAGTAATTTTGGCATAATTATTACATTAAAAATTAAAAAGATTATGTTTGTAGCTATATTTGTCCAGGTTTATTTATAACAATTACCGAAAACAAGACTTAATATTATTGTTCATGGTCTGGCTCACTTGGGACGAGAGGGTCCGACTTCTGTCCCAAAAACTGGTGCTATCTGGAACTGAAAACCACCATCTAGGACATCTCCATCATTCAATTCTTGTTGATTAGACTCAATAAAGTGAGAATTCGGTGTAGGCCTGTATATTCTTCATCTTCCTCATTCATCAGAATGGACATTTCATGTAAAAAGATCCCTTAGCAGTTCTGGCATAACGGAGAGCTCTTATTGGACATTTTCTTGCATGCACAAATTGCACATCTGGCACTGTTATAATCTTGAGCACATTTGCAAAAAACTTGGTTAAGGGATTAACTGTTCCTGGTATGGTGTCTCTGTTCATTCATTTGTATTGCGGGTATTGCATTGACTTTATGCAGGCGTTTTTAATTTTTTTTTTTTTTTATTCTTGTCTCGATAAAAATCTCGGCCAAAAAGAAATCTCGTCTCGTGTAACGAGATTTAAAATTTCCCGAAAATTTCCCGAAATTTCGAGACTTGACCATCCCTAGAAAAAAGATAAGATATTTACAAACAATTTTGATTATATCTAACTGTTGTGTACATTGTGAGTATTCATAATCTTTGAGTCGACTTTTATAAAGTCATCGGAAATTATGACCGTTATTCGTTTTAAAATAACGCCTGTAATGCTTCGCAATTGCTCGAATTCGAGCAACAGGTACACTAGTTTTATTACTCCAACCTAAAGGTGAGTGAGCGTAGCAAACAAACTTCAACCAGGACGTGATTGAGCCATGGGAACGAGATAATCTTGAAAATTAAGAAGTTAAACGGGGCAAAGCCCGCAGGTTACAGCTAGTATAAACAATTTTTAACACAATATATACGATTGATATATTATATTATATAGGTTAGTGTTCAAAACCCTGTTTTCTATCCTAATTAATGTGAAACAACAACAGGCTAATGGATTATATAAACTTATTTGACAAAAAACGCGTGAAAAATCAATTTATTTAAGAATTTTTAAATTATTTTGAGAATATCTTTTAAACCAATGCATATACGGAAGAAATGAATATGACCATTCTTGTAGAGAATTTCATCATCTTTCTTTTTATAATTTACATTTTTTCCGTACGATGCACGGTTTTCAGTGTAGAAGTAAAATCTAAAAATTGGGGTCTTTCCCCCCCTCCCCCCGTTGAAGCAGCAGGGCCAGGGAAGAGGACTTTTGGTATTTTTATCTTCTAACTACCCCGAACACATTCCCGCAGAAAAAAAATTCCCCCTCTCCATGTCCTCCACAATCCCTTCATTGACTGGACTATTGTGTATCACAGATTTTTGTTGCTGCTTAGTTCAAATTAGCTGTTTTCATAAATGAAAAAAAAAAATAATAGTGCTGCATCCTGTTGGTAAATCTTATAACTTTTAATGCCTTTGCATATCATAGAACCAACCTTGCCATAATAGAAACAGCTGACTAAATTCTTTAATTAAATTTAAATATGAGTAAATAAGGTTAACATGAGAAACTCTAGAGCCACTGGGGCGGAGCCCGAAAGGATTTTTGAGATAAAAATATGCCTATATGTTAATCGGGAATGTGAGCTATCATCATGCCAAATTTGAGCCCAATCCATCCAGTAATTATTGCGTGATTGAACTTCAAACAAACAAACACACAAACTTTCACATTTATAATATTAGTAAGATAAGGAGGTAAATTTGCAAATAAGTAAGTTATGGGTGAAGAACAGATTTTGCATATTTAGCGATAGCTAAAAACACATAGCTAGGAATCTAAAGGATAAAACCTACTTATCTAGGATCGTCAAATAGCCCTTTAACATCACTTAAATCACCTTAAATGCACCACGTGTAACTCTAGTACTGTTTATTTTTATCATTAATAACAACTAACAACGATAAATGAAACAAATAACATAAGTTGCTGATGTGAGTTTACGAGTTTACAAGTTGTTTACAATACGAACGTCATCTGTCTGCTACAACATGATCGGTACGAAAATGAAAATCATCTAGATACAGACATAAGGAGAAAGCTTAGAATCTGCCGAAAACAACGATACCAATCTCGATCTAGTAGAATCAGATTCAGTCAGTCCCAGAACCTTCGCCGTAAATTATGTTTGTGAGTCGCAAAAGCGCTCAACACGCTCCGACACTTAACACTCGGAGGGTTAATGCATGCGTAGCAACATGCATTAGTAGGGTAACATGCGTAGTAATTATCAAATAGCTGACTAGGGTAACAAAGATGGATTTGAAGTAATTTATAACAATACTTACACAAACAACTTATTATGTAAATAAATAGGATTTCTCAGAAAAACTTTGTGAACAATTAGGGTGGAAAAATTGAACTAGTTGCCATTTGAATGATTTCTACTCACCAATTCTAAATTCATATTTGTTGCGGTAACCATCAATGACTGGCGAAGCTCTGACCATGTCCAATTTGAAAGGCAGTTGGGTCTTCCTAAACTTGGCAATCTGCTTATCAATATACCCGATCAACTCTGGGGTTTTCTTCTCCATACAAACTGACAGCCATTTGAACAAACATTGGGCTTCTTCATTCTTTTTACTCAGCTGGAATTTAAAAACACACTGTGAAAATATTTGATAACTATTCCATAAGAACTACTCGTGTGATATTAATTAATTTCTATTAGGGGTCTGCGGTACAGTAAATTTAAGGTCGGTACGGTACAATATTTTGTACCTCGGTTCTCGGTACAAAATCGGTACGGTACGTGGCTCTTGTATTTTTGCGGTTTACTGCTCAGAACTATATCTAAACCATTATTTTAAACTTTAACATTGACATTACAGTACTATGAAAATGGATAGTATCCTGCATTCATGGTTTTCTAACAACAATTACTGTACCACACATTATTCAAACAAAACCTTTTACTACTACGAGGATTGTGTCAAGAAAAATCACAGTTAAGATAAAGGCTTTACCTATTTTACTCTGAGATACTTTGAATAGCCATGATAAAAATGGTTTTAAAAATAGGATAAGAGTTTTTAGGAATAAACATGTTTGAAACATTTATTGACAAGATAATTTCACACAACTGGTAAATTATTTCCAACCAACACAATGTCTAGTTGTTTTTAAAATTTTTTAAAACATATAAAAGCATTCAGTACGATGACAGTGTAGTTGCCAGCTGTTCACAGCAGACGACAATGAAAAACTGAAGGTTATGATGAAGTAATGGCAAAGAGCATCTTTTTTATCAGCTTCAAAACTAGTTATAAGATGGATACAAATTATTGTCTTTTTCATTTACAAAGTTAACATCCACAATATCAATCATTAGTTTATCTCAGGCTCAATCCAATTTTCTTAGTATATTTTAAAGCTCTTCCAAATAATCAAAAGACCCAGGCCTAGACCTAATTATTTAGGAGGGCCTATATATAAATTGATTAGGTTACAACGAGGGTAGCAAAATCACTATCTAGTTCATAAGATTTAGATTGCATAAAGTACCTTCAACACGATAAAAAATACATGTAAGCCTTAAACAGTCACATCTAACAATATAAGACAAGATACAGAACATGCAATGACATAATTTGAGACCAAGTAGACTTGAATAACGAAAAAAAAATTATGCAAAAAAACAACTATGCTTGTGGTTTTGTTAATAGAAAGATAAAATATCTATAGCCTAACAAATATTTTAACTTATAAAATAAGATTGTACATTAGTTACAAGTTTAATATGTGTTTATTAATACTTAAGTTTTGTATAAATTTGTGTAAAGCATTCAATCTTAGAATTTTAAATTTAAATATTTAGGCCTGTATGTACAGTTTATGCAACAAAATGTTCAATGTTTCATAGGATGATGTATAGATTTAAGCATGATGTCACATTTGTGTCCTGACTTCTGACGTTGTCTATTGTAATTTTATGTTGCTGAATGACAATAAAGATTATTATTATTATTATTATTATTATGTAGCCATAAACAGTTTTATGGCAATAGGCAATGGCCAGCGGCAAATTGAATATTCATGAAAATACTGACTGAGTTAGAGATAACATTTAACAGTCATCGTAAAACTATTATTTTTGTGGTAAAATAGAATTGGGGCGTTTCCTTTACTGCAGGAGATGGGCCTATTCAAGAGTTTGCCGCGATTGCAGAAAACAACATCAGTTTCCATGATTGTGGGGGACTATAAAACTGAGGATACTGATAACAGTCATAACAGATCCGCAAGCATTGAACTCTGGACAGAAATAATAACATATTCTGACAATTTGTTAAAAAATTAATACAAAAATATTACATCATTGATGTGGAGACTTTAACCTTTTTTTATTACTGGTACATTTAGGACACAAGCTATCCTATTCTTTTCTTTTTGTTCACTTCAAGCCGTGAAGTACCTAGCTAACTAACCCTATTTTGAATTTAAATATTTGAATCCAACCTGTTCCTCGTAAGAGATAGAGTGGTAAGGGATGGTAGACATCAACATCTGCTCCTCTATGGGAATGTCAAGTCTTGGTTTCTTGGAAGCCTCTTGTCCGCTGTCCTCCTGTTTGCGCTTGAGCACATCTGCGACGACCAACTGTGAGGAAAACAAGTATGTAGCCTAATTATTGTTATTTCAACTGTTTGTTCAGCTTAAGTCGGTAAATAGTTGATAGATTGATAATTTATTCTTTTAAATTTACTTTGTTACATAACTTTTTTTTATATTAAAAGATCTTATGTTAAGGAGGCACTCCAGCCCAAAAAAAAACTAGGAATTTTAAAAAATGTACCAAATTTTGGTTATTTACCAAAAAGTGTTCTACAGTTCTTCCCGAACATTTTGATGTATGACACATGATAAAAATATTTTTTTATGCGGTGTTATTTTACAAAATAAGTAAGTGCTACACTGGCCTCGTTTGCCAACCCCCCTCCCTACCCTTGTTTTGGCCAAATTGGCAAACTTTTGTTTTTAAAGTTTTTTTTTGTGTACTTTTAAATAATAACAAATGTTATATATGTAATAGGATTTTTTTTTATTTTTGCGGCGTTCTTCCCAACGGAATAGTGTTTCCTTTTGTTTCCGGGGCGATTACCAAAAGTTTTGATTTTCACATATTTTAAAATATGGGAACGTATGGAACTCAGGTTCTATCATTCTATGTGAGATAATCTAAAAATCTTTTTTTTTCTTTTTTTTAAGGTTATGATGTATTCAACCAACTGTAGCAAGGATTTAGACAAATTCAGTTTTTAAATGTTTTAAACTTAATTATAAAACAATATCTTTGAAAAAAAAAGATTTTTTAAAAATTGTGTGACAAAATGTTTACTATAATAACTAGTGGATTAAGATTTCCTTATTTTCATAGCTCAAAACTAATGTGTAAAAAATAAAATGTTTCATACATAAATAAAATTGTTTTTTTATTATGGGTGGAGTACACCTTTAACCCTAGCAGTGGCCAACGAGCGTAATATGCTCGTTCGCCGTGACGCCTAGAATGGCCACCAGCGTAATAGGCTAGAGTATGGGCCAAATCAAATTTTTTTTTTATGATGAGAAAACCGCTTATAATTAGCTCTGATGTGAACAATATATATACAATTCGAAAGATCACATCCTGAACTTTCGTTTTATTATATAAGCAAACCCTGTAGCAGGTATATAACAATGTCACGACGATTAGAAATCAAATGAATTTTTGGCGTGGCACGACTTTTGCAGCTGACACTTGGGAACTGTCAAAACACAACTTGTTTGGCATTACCCTGCTCGGGTAATTTTCGTTTGAAATGTTGCGGGTGGTACCACTGGATAGCCATTGATTTTATCTTCATTGTGGTATTGATATTTAGAACGATATATTGATTGCACAACAGGTACGATTTGATGAAAACAGCTGTTTTTGAAATTTATAACAACTGGCTAACCAGCGTAATACGCTAGTACGGAAAATACAAATTATATACTGTGTAAGTTATTATTGCTAGTCATATAATATGTCATTTTGAAAAGGAAGAAATGTAGCTTGTGATAGTGGCAGCCCTACGCTCAGGGTTATTTCCATTTCCTCTCAGGAAGACGACGAAAGTGCGTCACTACTGTCAAGGTCTCATACACAAAGTGCCTTGTATTCGCCATTGGGTGTTGTTGCCAGCGAGTTTTCGTTCTCGTGTTATCCATTATTTTTATTTATTTATTTTTTTTTATTTATTTATTTATTTTTTTTTTAAAGAGGTTGGCAGCCTATTTATTACTAAATTTGTTATTATTTCATATTGTTAGAGAAATGTGTGTGTGTGTATATAACAGTAATCTTCATGCATTTTACTATGCATGAATATTTACTGAATATGTGAAATTGTGTTTATAAAAGGTTGTACTTTTCTTGCGGTTGTATTGTGCGTTTTTCCGTTTATTATATTATTATGCCCCTAACACGTAAAATAAAAATTGCTACCCAACGTGTTATACATTTCTATGTAGGGAATTAGATTGTCTAAAAAATCAGCTATATAATGAATTTCCCATAAAAAATCTGTAAAAAAAGTTTTACCCAAGCTGCTTTTGAAATTTAAAAAAATAAATTCAAATCTTTTTTATTTTTTTCACTTTATCGAAGAAAAAACACTTTCTTTATCATTATTATATTACTATTTCTAGATTCTCCTGTTCTTTCTAAACAAAATGAATATGAGGTTGGCTAAGTTTACCTCAACGGTTGAATTTTTTACGAATTTTCAAAAAAGGTCTGCAAAATTGCCAAAATAAGTTGGCCATTCCACACTTCTAACATTGGCCACTGCTAGGGTTAACCGAGAAGTTAAAACTATTTTCAAAATAAAAACTGTTCAAGATAAACCTATTGTTCTTTTTTAATGGAATAACTGCATTGAACATAACACATTGAATATAAGGTTGTAATATCAACATAAATCTCAGGTTGTTTTAGGACCAAACAAGCTTAAAGTTAAGTTTTATTAAGAGGAGAAAATGGAAACAACGCCCAGGGCCTATAAAACATAGCCTACATGAATGCAGCAATGCCTATCCATTGCTTTTGAAATCATTAAGTTATCATTAAATTATCGATTATGAGATATCTCCTAAGACATAATATAGGCTACTACATTTTATCATGATTATATAAAGACTTTTAGTCATTGTAATATCTCCACTTACGGTACAAATTAGTGTTCGACCTTTCCATTTATAATTTCTTAACAGTTTCAAAGCTCTTTCTTGATGAGCTTGGTTGTAAAAAGTTATGTACAACCAGGAATTGCCTTTTTTGGGCGAACGAATGTATTTGAAGTTCAGTCCAAGATTTGCAAGCAGTCTTTTAAAATCGACTAGAAGTGGGTCCTGGAACAAAATAACACTTGAAAACATACTAATAAATTAATAGCAGCTTAAAAGCAAAGTACGAATGACACAATGTCCAGCAAGCCATGAAAATAAAATCCAGTCAGTTCCAGGATTTTTTTGAAGAAATAAATTTGGAAGTTTTTGAAAACTTTGGCGTGTACTACCGGTGGTACACTCAGCAACTCTGATGTGCGCCACTGGTGGACACCGTTACTATGGTGATTGTACGCAACAAAATGGCATTTCGGAGTCTTTGTGAGTGGTTTTACTATGTATTCATGTTTGTATGAAACATGTCCACTAGTGGTACATAAACCAAATTCAGGTTACACGAATATAACACCAAGTTACATAAAGATGTGTTAAATCCTTATATATAATTCTGTTAGACAAAATTGTGGACAATTATAAATCAAAATACAGTTCAAATATGGGCACAATAAGATCTGGTGTACCTCAAGGATCGGTCCTGGGACCTTTACTTTTCATTTGTTACTTAACAAATTTTAAAAAGTGTCTAAATTTTGCCCCATGTACAGGTTTGTATCTTTATGCAGATGACTCTAATCTTAAAGTATCTGGGAAAACTGCAGAAGATGTTGAGTTTCCTATCCACAATAGAAATAGCTTGTATTGAGGATTTTTTTGATAATCACAATTTAAAATTAAATGAAAGTAAAACCAAATGTGTCACATTCAAAACAAAACAAAACAAAAACAATTCCAATCCTAATATTGAAGTAAATAACCAACCAATTGAAATAACAGAAGCCGTAAGGTTCCTTGTCCTGACATTGGACAGCAACTTGTCTTGGGACAAACATTGTAAACTTGTTATCAATAAAATAAATTCTGGTCTTTGTGCGATTAGAAAAATGTCAAAACTATGCAGTGTTGATGTTTTAAAAATGATCTATTTTTCCCATATTCAATCCCATATATCTTATGGCATATGTGTATATGGAGCCACCTCAAATTCAAATCTAGACCAAATTTTGACAATACAGAAGCAATCAATCAGAGCTATGTTAAAAATGAACAAAGATGATTCTGCAAAAGAACACTTTAAAAGTTTAAGGATCCTCACTGTTTATGGTTTGTATGTTCTTGAATGTATTATGTTTGTCAAAAACAAAAATTTTATTCCACCAATTAAAGAAAATAATCATAACTACAATACACGTAACAAAAATAATTTTGTAATTAGAAAACACAAATTAGAGCTCTTAAAAAAAAAGACTGTCAATGCAGGACATGAATTTTTAAAATTTATTCCTTTGAAAATTAAAACAGAACAAAAACCCAACATTTTTAAAAAACGTCTCAAGGAATATTTAATGGACCTGTCCTTGTACTCTTTAGACGAATTGAAAATGGCGATATCATAGTTTTAAGCATTAGTTTTAACTTATTTGACACTATTCATGTACAACTATGTATACTATGAATAAAGATTCTTGACTATGACTATGACTATGACTATTTTGTTGCGGCGTGTGTGGAACTGTTAGTCTTCGCCTTATACCACTTTCTTTCAAGAACTTGTCAAATTCACCATTACAATATTCTTTGCCGTTATCGGTTTGCAGAAACTTGATTTTATTTCCTGTTTGATTTTCCACCTCATATTTATATTCTTTGAAACGTCCAAAAATTTTGTCTTTACTTTTCAAAAAATATACATAGCAGTATCTTGAATGTTCATCAATGAATGTTCCAAAATACTTATTTCCTCCAGGTGTAGTTACTTTCATAGGACCAACAATGTCAGAATGTATGACTTCTAACAAGCTTACATTATTTGCAATCTTTCTTGATTGAAATGGTGTTGTGTCAATTTTCCTTTAATACATGTTTCACATTCTCCAATTTTGTCTTTCATGTTGAAAGTTAATCCATTCAAAAATTCATTTTTTAAAGCTATTTTTAAGTCAACCTCGTTTAGATGACCTAACTTTTTATGCCAATCTATGATCTCAGGTTCTTTTGTATAGTTTGATTTTTCATTTACCATTATAGATTTTGTACTTTTGACATAATAAAGACCACCCTGACGTTCTGCTGCCACAATTGCATTTCCTCTTTGGTTTTGGACCACAGCTTTCTCTTTTTCAAAAATCACTTTAAATCCTTTATCTGTTATTTTACTGACACTCATTAGATTTGTTGCCAAGTCTGGTACAAACAGAGTGTTATTCAAATGTATGATTTCAGAATTTTTTAATTCCAGCGAAACCGTTCCTGTTCCAGAAACGTCAGATGTCTTTCCTTTAGAAGCAAGTTTCAAAATTCCGTTTGAATTTTTGATATCTCTGAACTGTGATTTCTCTCCACACATGTGCGATGTACATCCACTATCAATACACCAATCAGATGAATTAGAACCTAAAATGTTCAAATTTGAAGAGAAACATTCAGCCTCTGCTTTAAGACTATTTCCCATTTGTTTGGATCTACAGTTGTTGGCTTTGTGTCCTATTTTTCCACATCTAAAACATTTAACTTTGAAACCTACTTTTGTAGTGTTGTTCTCATCTTGTTTTTCATGACTATAAGTGTTGTGAATACCTTTCTTGGAGTTGAACTGCTTTGTTTTGCAATACAATGTATCTTCATTATTCGTATCTTTTGACTTAGCTTCACTCTCCTCAATTACTTTTATTTTTAAATCATTAGGAGAAGGTAAAGTGTCTCTAGACTTAATTGCTACACGGAAATTTTCAAATGATGATGATAAGCTGTAAAGTAGCATAATGCTAAGTAAGTCTGAACTGATAATGATGTCCATTTCTTGAAGTTTGTCAACAATCTCCATAAATTTGTTGACATGATTCCTAGCATTTTCTCCATCTTTCATTTTATGAACTATTAACTGCTTTAATAATGTGGCTTTCCTTGCAGGACCAGAACTTTGGTAATTGTTCTGCAGGCAATCCCATACTTCTTTGGAAGTTTTGCAGTTTTTTACTAATTTCAATTCACTAGGTGAAATTATCAATATTAGTTCTGATTTTGCTTTAAGATCTTTAACTATCCAGGCATTCTTACCAACTTCATCCTCAGGACATTTGTTCTCCCCAGATACATAATCCATTAGGTTTTGTTGGATTAATATAGCTTCAGCTTGAATTTTCCAAGTGTCATAACTATTTCGTTTCAAAGGTTCAATTATATAGCCAAAACTCATTTTACTTATTTTTAAGCACAGAATAGGCCTACTGTAAAATGATTATTTTATTATTCCAAATGGCCCATAACCTTTTTTATGGTGAAATTAAAGTTAATGAAAGAATAAATTGTTGTAAACTCTTTGATTGTCTTACAAACACAACACTACACTACACTGAATTATATTTAGTAAACAACTTCATATGTACAATGTAAAAACATATGATGGTCCATCACTAATCCAGACTAGATGTGTTGGGTTGCAATATTCAACAGGATCTCAGTAACTAATGATTTTACAGCAAACTTTAAATGGGGAACATTCCCTTGTTTTTAATGAGGTTTAAAAATAATTAAATGAAATCTTTGTAAATGGCCGCCATTTTCCAATATGGCGGTCAACTTTGAAATTTCTTATCGAAAAAATGTCTGGAATAAAAAAGTTTTTAAATTGCATGTTCTATCCGAAAACATGATAAAATATAGGGTGTTCCATAAGAAATTTCAAAGTTGACCGCCATATTGGAAAATGGCGGCCATTTACAAAAATTGTATCTTATTATTTTTGAACCTCTTTAAAACGGAGAATGTTCCCCATGTAAGTTTGCTGTAAAATCATTAGTTACTGAGATCCCAATGGTGGCACACTTAAAAAAAACACCCTGTATAGATTTTTTTAAAGAAGGCAAAAGAACTTAAAGACATAACTTTATTGCTAGGAAAGCTTTGTGCAGCAATTGTTGCTTGTTGTAGAAAGTTATTGAATGTGGTAAAGACAGGTTCAAAAAATTAAGAAAATTCTGCATTTCATTATAATGATGAATATATTGACATAGAGCTTACAAAAATAATTACAAAATTTACCACAAAAATAAAATGTATTTGGTTTTGTTTTATATTTCTATCAAGTTGTTTTCTTTTGACTTTGACGTGTAAAAAATGATAATCTAAACCCCACTCTTATTTTTATAACATTTGAAAGATAATTTTATTCTCTTTCCAGTGATAAAAATTTACTCCTCTTTGTAGTAAAAATTTAGAAAAAATGTACTAAAAAATAGAAGGTATTTTGTTTTGTTTTACGTTTAAATCAAGTAGTTTTATTTTGACTTTGATGTGTAATAAAAATGTTAATACTCTAAACCCCACTCTTATTTTTATACCATTTGAAAGATAATTTTATCCTCTTTCCAGTGATATATAGTTTCATAGGTTTATCTGGAGCGAGATTTTTGTTATGAAACCTTTTGTAACTGAATGTTCCGATTTCAGGGAAATATTTTTTTTTTCATTTAGGATTTTTTTTGGGGTGATAGTAGGTACTAGTTATCATTTCAATTGTATTATATGATTCTGCATTAAATTTTGGATATATCAGTAAAATTTGAAGCCTCTAGCTTAAAAATTGTCCATTCCACATAGAAAGACGAGAATACATGCACGCTCCCTTAGCGACAAAATGGACCTTGGAAACTAAATTCGCTCAAAACTTCAAATATCCATCTCTGAAACCGTTTGACACAATGAACTGAAATTTTGGATTTTATCCTATCTAAATGCCTTAATTATGTGTACAAATTTTCATGAAAATCTGTGATTAGTGGGTGACAACCCCTAGATGACTTGACATGGAATGGCCCTTATTTAAAATTAGGTATTGATCAGTAAAGTTGATATCCTGCATGTAAACAAACCATTGTGGTGGAAGGCTGGACAGAGAGAGATAGTTGACAGGTCAGTGATAAGAAGCTCAGGGTCCAAGTTGGCTAGCTACAGGTGGAGAGGCAGCCTGATTCCTGTTTCCAAACAGGAAATGGTTCTGTTCTGACCAAGTGTACAACCTTTCTTCCTGTTTTAATTATTTAGCCTATCCATGTTTGAACGTTTACAAATTTAATTGTCAGAATAGTGAAAACATACACTGTGGTGTTCAATTTGAAATATCCAACCAGAGAAAAGTTATATTAATGATTAGTGATTTACTGAAGAGGTTATTTTGAAAGCTTGAGAAACATGTGACTTTCGGCAAAAAGTAAGTTTTTTTTATTTTACTAATGACAAGTTAACTAATTGAGATATTTTAAAGTCTATTAATTATTAATATTTACTCGTTTCCAGTTGTGTTTGACGTGCAACTTTCACTTTAAAAACTTGAAAAAACCATTTAAATTACAAAATTAAAACTGTACAATTTAGCATTAAACTATAAGCATACAACCATAGCGTACGATCCCCAATTGTTGTACAACAGTACAACAGCTGACCAGCTGATTTACAGCCAGCGCTGCCAACGTATTTCGCGTGCATACGACCTTGTCTGCATGTTACGCGCTCACTATTTCGTGCCTTCACGTTGCAAATCTGGAGTGATACAAAGTAATTAGAGTAAGACAATGTTAACATTGTCTCACTGATGAGCGAATTGGCCACTTTGCTTTCTCAAATCAGTGAGAGAACATGTACATTGTTAGGTAACTGTAGGAAAAACAACATTTTCATTGCTAAAAACAACTTTTTTACGATTTTGCATTTGACATATTTATCAAATAGTTATGCCGTTTAATTATGTATCAACTTTAAACCCATTTTATGCTGAATATTTTGGTTTTCAATTTGTCCTGATATCTTAAAAAAAAAGTTGTTCAAGTTTGTTCTAGTAAACGGCGATTTTTGTCAAAAACGCAGGTTTCACAGAAACAAAGATGGCCACAAAAAAAAATTCTGAGGATAAATAATTTGTTTAATACTTGCATGTCATTTCTATTGATACAGTTAATAAATCTTTTTTTTAATTAAATCAAAATAAAAAATGTTGAGCAACAATGCCTGTATGACTTGAAATGGATCAACCCCTGACTGTCTATAATAAGAATCAAAAGATTAAGTTAGGGAAAAAGTAAAAAAAACTAATATAATAAGTATAAAAACAAATCTAACAGCAGGAAGCATCTTAATTATTTTAAATGCGATTAAATACAACGCTGACTTTAACTGAGATTCGTGCCTCAGGAGAGCGTTTATCAAAAAGACTGGGACGGTGGCGTCGTCCTGTAATCCGGCTACTAGGCCACGAATTGTGGATATTTATAGGCATGGACTGTGGATGCGATGTTCCCTGGTGTGGATTAACGTCCGCACTAGTGAGTACTACGACTATCCGCAGTACTATCCTGATAATTAGACCAATTTGTTAATTAAAAGGGAAAATGTGGTTAGGATTCCACTATAAACTGTAGGTTCCTTAGTTGCCATTGGCTGTATGGGCTATTAATTAACAGCTGTGTCTAAAGAATGTGTCAGCCTTGGTCTCTAACAAGATTACAAGATTGCTCACTTATCCTACACTCATCCTTCACTCATATTTCGTCTAAAATACGCACTTAGTGGCGTCCCCATCTTAAATAATTGATCAAATTGATTGATAAATTGAGTTATTGGCTATGAATAGGAAGTTTTTCATTGGAGACCTTTCATTCATGTAATATGCGGTTTAAAGGTGTAAGGCTTACGGTTTACTCAAAAGTTCATCCTTATTATTAGCTTAAAATATAGATAGCCTAGAATTTACCGTAGGTGTATAAAAGCGAGGCAAGCCACTGATTTTGACTCGGTAGTGTGGGATTGAGTTGCCAGGTGTTGATTGAGGTTTCTCTTGAGTTTTGGACTCCTCTTCAATAGTTTCTTGTTTAACTTCTGGTTTATCTTCTTCAATGTCCGAAACATTTTCATTTGTCTTCTCAAGGGGCTGCTCACTTTCATTTTTTATCTCCATTTGTTCAGGTTCTTTAGCAGCCATAGGTAATAATAGATGCCTAAAAGTATTACATAAATGTTACATAATAATAACTGTAATTAGATATGGACCTAAAATTGATAAAGAGTAAATACAGTAGGACCTCAATAACTGAAACCTTGATAGGCAGATCTCAAATCCCTAATATCTTAAATCCCTATGAATTACAATATTAAAAGTGGAGCTAAATGGTTTATGTTACCATTTGTGGTGTTATGTCAAGTGATCCTGCTTCAGTAGTACACTACTCAATATTATGTGTAGTGGAACATACTTGTAGAGAAGGGCTTTTAATCTTGAACTGTCATGTCAACCTTATGAGTATTCACATTTAAAGAATTAAAGATTTTGACAGCGGTTTCAACTGGGTAATGAGAACTGTCAAAGTTGGATTGTTTATTTTTTAATTTAATAATTGGCGAAAAGCAGTCAACAAAAATACTTCGATATCTGATGTGTGTTTGAAAATGATGCAATGGAATACCTAACAATCAATAGACAAATAGACCATAGACAATACAAATTATTAAAAATATATCGAATGGACAGAGCGTGTATATACACTGCAGAGCATTAAAATGGAAAGATGAACCTCCTGTAAAATGATAATATCTTATTTTTGTGTTAAAGAAAAAAATACTCAAACTTCAATCAACTTCTGAACTGCAGCTTGTATCTCTTGCGGTGCGCCGAGACTTGGCCGACTTCATGCTCCTACTGAAAATAATCAGAGGTCTTCTATTTTGTCCGGACATCCTGTCAAAAATTGACTTCAAAGTAGGCTACCGTCTGGCACTAGGACTAGGGAACTCTTCGTCCGAAGACACTACAACACGTCTTTCGACTTCCACAGCCCACTAGCTCGTCTTGCCCGGCTTGGAAACCGTGTTGCTCCGGACTGTGACCTGTTCTGTGACAAATTTCTCATATCAGAAGATGTGCTAAGGAAATCTTCACTCCTTGAACCTGTACGAGCTTAAACTAGGCCTACTTCCAGACACAGATTTTCACCAGCATTTGTTCATCTTGTCTCTGATATAAGTAAATTTTGTAAAACTGATTATTTATGTTTGTTCCTGCATTTGTCAATGTTGATATTTATTGTAAAATAACTTTACACTGTTTTCTTTGATCTCACTCATGCACTACTTGTTGCCATCCAACTTTCTATTTATAAATTGTAAATATTTGTATTGTTAATATTTTTGTTACTATTGATATTGTTACTACTATGGTTATTGCTCACTATTTTTGTACAACTTTTACTATTTTGTTTCCTGTCATTTCAAGTTGTGAATGTTTTTCATTGTAAAGTGGATATGCCGTTGGGAAATAAAATAAATAAATGAAATCAATTGTAAGCCTGGAATACAAACTTTAAAAAATAAAAATTTGCGCGACCAGCAGGGCTAGGGCAGGCCGCACGGCTGCGGTGAGACGACATCGAGTAGTGCGAGTACTAACAGCTGATCGAGAGCTAGTTTTGTTAGTGCTCAGCTCATTGACCTTTCTGGATATTGTTGTTGAAGTTACAGCTACAGCGACGCATTATCCTCTCTCCACTCTCCCGCCCCCCCTCACAGCTATCGTCAGCTGGAGGAGCCGAGCGCTGAGCGGTCGACTGCCCCTCTACTCGTCTGCACATGCGTCGAGACTGTTTCTAATCTTTACAGATAGATCGCACCCATGCTAGCGCTGTTCTAGCGCTCCTAGCCAACAAATTACTGGCAACAGGTCCACTATGGCCATGGAACGTCTATATAGGTATACTAGCTGTTTGCCCGTTCTACGTACGGGAATCTTGTAGTAAGTTGAAGCCATTCAGAACAGGAGTTGGTTTGCATATTTAGTGTGCATTTTTCCAGATATGCTGGCAAAACTATTACTGTATAGGAATACATAATAAACCTTCGCAAACACATTATCTGACAGTTTCAAAGCCAAAACGAATGCTTCGCAATTAAATGTCAACCGATCGTGTTAGTCCATATTTTATATCTAATGATAAAAGGAACTGCTTTATAGATCTATGAGGCATAGCCCTTACGGAGGCCTGTAACTGAAAGTTACTTTTCACACCGGTTAAAAGTAGTAAAAATACTACCTCAACCTCACTACTGCACACTTTATTCGGGTTGAAATTTGCATTAACAAAGGTGCTCTTTTTTCACGAAACACTGAGAAATAAGGACATTAATGCGTTACCAACAGGCTTACACACACAAATACAGAAATGAATTAGGGGATTTACTACGCTTTAACCAAAGCAAATTACAATTATTTGAAAGTTTTGATAGTGTCATCAAGTTTTATAATAATCGTTTTTAGGCCTAATCAAACTGTAAAATTGGTGTAAATCCGTTGGCAAATATATAAATAAGTAAATAAATACACAGCCCACAAAACATTTATACGTTAACAACGCCAAGCTTTAAGAATTCATGATGGTTTGCTAAATAAATCGTTCACTAATGTAATATCATTTTCATAGCATAAAGTAACATTTTGGAGTCCATACAGAAAACGCAAACAAATTATACAGTAAGACATCAATTAAATTTAATAAGAAATAAGGTACAGCACTAACGATAACTATAGTTGTAAATAGTGATGTGTTTGTACGTAAAAATGATTCTTGCTGCTACCACCAGTTCTAAGGAAAAGTAGCAGTACCAAAAGCCAACGTTTACATTTAAGAAAAGAACTATAGGCTAGTACTTACGACCAATTCAAACTGTATTATAGGTGTTAATCCGTTGGAAAATATATAAATAAATAAATACACAGGCAACAAAACATGTAACGTTAACAACGTAAAGCTTAAAAACTCACTATGGTTTGCTCAAAAAAACTTTCACTTGATGTGGTGCAGTACCGAAGCTATTAATCTCCCTTGGTTTTAAATTTTTTAAGTTTTCGAAAATTATAGTTATTTCCCATTTATTTGTAAGCAACTTTTAATGTTAACATATTAATGACAGTTTGAAGAAACCACCTTTATCCAAACAAAGGTTTCTTTTTTAAAAGATTACGTAATCTCTAAACTATAATCGGTACACATATCTAGCAAACATTCGGAGGAAATGTGACAAAAAACGCACAAATCTGGGGTTTTTGACGTTTGTAGTTTTACTTCCTAAGTAGAAAAAGTACCGATGTCGTTTTCGAAATGTAAGTAAGTACAAACCGAAAGTGACACATTGGAAAAAGCGAGTTGCGATTTTAGCTACATCTGTAAGTTAAACATATGTTACGATCACAGTGAAATTAGAAAGATCTTCCAAGATCGCAGCAACATCCACGATCACCCACTGCAGTTGATTTTTTACTTTGCACTTTACACAACTGTCTTTGAAGCGCCGTCAATGAGTGGAAACCTTTTTTGTAAACTATTGGTGACGATGATTAAAAAAATGTAAGTTTCCCAGCACTGATTCACAACACTGATTCTCAGTATTTTCTCCGGTTATTAAAACTCAAGAACAATCGTTGCACTTGCGATTAATTAAACCGGTTAAGTAAGGCACAACGTTTTTAATCTCACTTGGTTTAGATGTGCTAACAAAACTTGATCGGAAATGGTTGCGGTATTTGTAAACAGTATTTAATGTAAACATATCAGTGACAGCTAGAAATGAGAACTAATCCAAACAGCTGATCGTTATTTCATAAAATGTAATAGTAAACATTGGGAGAAAATTGGACAAAAATCGATCAAAATTGGGTTTTTGATGGTTTGTTATATTTTTTCAAAAGTAGTTAGGCCATATTTTAATAGCCAAAGGAGTGAAATTCGCCTCCTTACAGCTTAGGCGCCTATTTCTCGCCAATCCAGTGAATACAGAAAAATAATTGGAATCTTGATCTGTACTCTAGTTTTCAAGGAGTAGGCCGCGTAAAATGACATTTTGGCGTTACAGACGAAGTCACAGAATGGACAAACAGACAGACATACAGACAGAAATTGAGATAAGACTCGTTTCGGCTTTCTTAGGCTATGAAACGTAAAAATAACCAAAAACTGCATGATTCTAAGCAATGTACAGACAAAACTGTAATTTTATTTATATAGATATAGTCAATGCTATAATGCATTTTCCACCCTAACTAATAATAATCTCAAGAATAATATTAAACATACCTACTTCTGAATATATATTTATTTTATCGGCTACATTGCTCTTACTCCTAATTATTCGTAGGATACGATATTATGGTACCGATACGTTTGTACTACACTAATACTTTCGGCAACACTGGCCAACAATCTTCGTGCTTGGTTCCCATTGGACGGGGCGCGAGGCTTCTGATCGGGAGTTAGCGAGTTCCGCCGAGGAACCGAGTTAGCGGGGAATGATGACTGTTATTCGTTTGAAAATAACGCCTGTACCTAATACTTCCTAATTGCTCGAATTCGAGCAACAGGTACACTAGTAAAGTACAGTTTTGTACATTGAATGGCGTCAACTAAATCTATCTTAAATTAATAATTTACAAATTTGCATATCTTGGATCATTATGTACATTAAAAACCAAGAACCAGGAAATGAAAATAATCAAAACTGAGTTAATTACTAATGCTAAGAAGAGGGGAGGTGGAAAAATACTCTTCCAGGGAATAGAACGCTTTATCTACTAAATAAAGTTTTAGTTTTCGCATGAAATTCTTCCTGCTTTGTTCATTTCTGATTTCATTATGAAGATGCTTAAAAAATTTTAATCCTATATAGGATGGTTTTTTTCATAGAATTTTAATTTGTGTTTAGGTACTTGAAATAAGGAATTTTTTATGCCGAGTGTTGTATGGGTGATAATTTGTCTCTAATTTGTGATAAAACAGATAAGAAATGCATAGTACCTTAATTAAGATTCAAGTCGTTCACTTTAATAACCCACAAACTTTGCAGCTTACAATAAAAAGGATTGCATATTCTGACAATGTCTCTAGGCCTAGAACCTAACCTCAAATTGGATGTCAACGCAGTAAATGTAGCTTTTCATAGACTAGATTTTAGATCAGATTTGCCAGTCGTTCACGCTCCGGTCGTTCACGTGAACGATGTTGAATATCGTGAACGATTGGCGCAATACTGGCTGTACTTTAAATGTCGTTGCTCTTTTACAGCTATAAGGTTTAGGGTATAATATTTTATGGTAGTCGTTTCTTCATTATAACATCAAATTCGAAACAAAATGAATCTTTCACAAACGACCAAAGAATGTTAGGCTATGTTTGTAATTTCATAAAAAAAAAGATTTCATTAAAATATTGTTGAAACATTACATTTGGGTTTACATTTCTTCTAATCATATCCATTACTCTATGTGTTTTTCAGTAACTTAATCCAGTTATACGTTGTTCAATGCCATCAATGCCAGTAGTTCACGGTCAGTGCCAGTAGTTCACGGTCAACGCCAGTAGTTCACGCTAACCAAAACACATATATTATTCTCACTGCTTATACTATATTATGATGTTTATGTGTTTTCTGATACATGCCATACCGGTAATCATATTTCAGTACAAACAACAATTTACTGCAATTTACTGTTGAAATATTTGTCATTCGTAGGTACTAAAGTTTTGTCTGCAAAGTAGAGCCAATTCATTTTAGGTTAGCTCAAATTGTTAAAATTTCCTCAAATTGAACGAAATAAAATATTTTGGTTTCGTTTATTTGAATTTTGAAGGGTATAAGTAACATTTATGATGAAATTTTTAATTTAATATCATTTTTACTATTTTATTTTTTGCAAACTCATCAGCGTGACCGACTGGCATTTTTTGTGACCTTCAAGCTAAAAATAGAGTTATAAATTAAGGTAAGCAAAATTCAGCTCTGCTGATTAGTAGGCTATACATTATTCCTCATTAAATACTGATTGTAATAGGCTAGTAGTATATCGATT